GCTCACATCCTCGCCGCGCTCCTCACGCCAGCCCCCGCGCCGGTCAGCGCTCCCGCGGGCGCCCATACCTTCAACCACAAAACCAGGGCTTAGCCCATTTCCTACCCGCTGCTGCCCTTCACTTCTGCACGTGAGGGTGCCATGCACCCCACAGTCCCGCTCCTGTACCTGAGAGTGTGCGGTTGTTTGTGGCTGGGTGGGCAGAAAAAGGGGAGATTGACAGTCCGTTCCCCTGCTGGAAGTGATGGCAGGGCAGCCGGGAGCTGAGATTTGAAGGGGAAAGGTAGAAGGTGAGCAGTGAGATACTTCAAATTCAACCCACAAAATGAAATCGGTCTACTATGAGCTAATGTGGAGAACTGTGGTTTGCCTACTAAGTAACGAGAACGAACTTTTTTGTGTGCTTTTTTTTTTTTTAAGTTACATTAAGACATGAACAGTATTATCCCTTGGTGGCGGGAGCTTGGTGAAAACAATGTTGAATTAGAGGTGGGGGGAAAAACAACACATGCCCACACGTGTAGACAAGAACATAATATTGGCAAGCTATTCCCCTGCTTCTTTGGTACTTCCTAAACTTTCTTATCCAAAATATATAAGGGAAATGCACCATTTAAAAGTTACTGTCTGTAAGTATTTACACAGCCATAACCATCACGCTATGATACACAAAGATCAATATGATATGAACAAAGTTATTTTATGAAAAGCACTTCTGCACATTTTATTTTGTTCCAGTATCTTAATAGCTTTAAAAAAATTCATGTGTTATGCAGTCCTGTACCTCGCTTCTTCTTATATCAAATGGACAAGAAACATTTCCTAATCCATACTCTTCTTCAAAAGATTAAAAAATTGCCACCAAAATGATACACTATGTACAAATTTTACTAAATATTAAATTCTAGGCAATTATTTTCACCCCACTGATAATATAACTTAGGTATTGTTACCTACTATATGCATATATATTTCTTTAATATATAAGAAATGGCACCACATCACCATGTCACCAATATGACACATTGTTATGTACAGTAGATAAGAAGTTAGATATGGAAGATGGATCTTCTCCGACTGGTTCTTTCATGGGAATGCTTCTCCCCTCGGTTGGCCGTTTCCCCTTTTCCCAACGAAGGAGGCTCTTCAGACATAAGGCAGGATCCCGTACATCAGCAGCGCCATCACCCCGGCGCTGAACAAGCCGGCCACCGGCACAGTCACAAACCATGCCAGGAAGATGTTACGGAAAAGGCGCCAGTCGACGGCTTTCTTGGAGCGGATCCAGCCGACGGCCACCACGGAGCCGACCTTGGGAGCGCAGGGAAGAGAGAGGGAGACAAGGTGTGAGCGCCCATAACATGCCCCCGGCCGCACCAATGCCAGTCAGCTGATACCAAGCAATGCTCTGAGATAAAGGAGCCCCTGATGATGACGACGGCTCTGTTCTGGTGGAGTGGCAGGAGGGCAACAATTCCAGGGTGCTTTAGCCTTTATTTTTCCAATGATCTCCTGTTTTTCATGGGTCTTGGGGTCAGCCAAAGGAGAATAAATGTTTGCGGGTTTTTCTCTGCCCTACTAGCTCCTGGATCAGCCATGAGTGGCACCGAGGCAGCCCTCCACCCGCCCAGCACCCGACTCGGTCTGCAGGGGAGAGGGCAAGCGTCCGCCGAGTCTGGCCAGACTGCAGTCTAAATCGTGAAAACACTGGGAAAGTTGTTTTTAAGGCTCTGCCAGAAAGCACGGCACGGGGCAGGTCGGGATAGCTGGTATGGTTCCCGTCCCACCTGCTTGTCCTCTTGCTGGTTCGGGATGTCCTGGCTGTTCAACCCAGCAGCTGCTGAAACTCTGCACGTTACAGCC